AAAAAGAGGTGGAAAATGTTTTCCCACCTAATAGTTGAGAAAACAAAATCAAGCTTTTGTGCATCAAATGATTGTACCTAGAAAAATGTGGAAAATGTTTTCCATGGAAAAATTTACCTATCAAACAGCTTTTTAAGGTTGGAAAAGGAAAATGTTTTCCTTTTCCATGGAAAACTAAGGCTATCAAACGGAGCCTAAATGAAATTTCAACTATTTGTAACTCTGCTATTAGAAGCATGTTTGGGAGTGCTTAAATGTATCTAGAATGTAAATGTAAGCCTTGGGGGAAAAAGTTGTTAGTCAAAAAGCTTTAAGATCGTGTATAGCATTTGTATGGCACAATTCTTCCAATAAAAAAATTTTGCAAATTGCAAGTGGACCCATGACTTTTCCCTACTTTTTAACCTTACATTCTCCAAAATTATAATTTTTCTCCCAAACAAACACTTGGTTAAACATGCTTTTAAACACAGCCACACATGCTCTAGAAGGTGTTGTCAATTCCACAAACATCACTAAATTTAAAAGCACGAAGAAATTAATTGCATACCCCATGGCAGGTGGAATTGTGAGTTTCCTTTTGTCCCCAATACGCATGCCTGGTGATTAAATGAAGTGGGACAAATTATCAAAAATTATTTGCAAGCCATAAGAAGTAAAATTTATTAGAATGAAGTATGTATTCTAGGGTTAAAATAATTACCATTAACCCCAACATCCCAGCCCTTGATAACTTGTCCTATACCTGCAACAACAAAGTACATGAATTAAGTCATAAACACAAGGAATTCAGGAATTTCTTGAAGCACTTGCTTGACACCACATACCTAAACGAAATTTGAAGGGAGCTCTGCCAATATTTGAGTCAAATATTTTTCCATTCTTCTTCAGCTTCCCAATGTAATGGACACTAACCTGTGTACAGAAAATATTGTTTTGTACAAGCGCCAAAACATAATCCAAATAATCTTAATAAAAAAGTCAAACCATGAAAACACTGTCACATATACAGAATATTTGTGGAATAATTATAGTTCTTGCGATCAATAGTTTTGAATGCCAACCTGCAGCCATAAGTAGGACATAGATAGTAGTAGTTATATGAGATAAGTAAAGAGTTCAATCCATTTTGAAAATATCATGGATTCCTTCTTTATTTGTCTCATATCTTTCTTTAGTTTCATGTTATTCCAAATAATCTTTGCACTGAATTTTGAATGTGCTTTTTGACAGGCAGTTGGGGAAAGGGGCTTGCAGATGAAGGCTGACATATTAAATATATAGAGTAACCCATATAAAGAGCCATATTCACCTTTTTCCCTGGAGAAGCTCTTTTCCCGTCTGGTTTACCCATGGTCAACTCCTCTATGACCAATCCATTTGGGTACGTCCTCACTTGCAATGGTTTTGCTTCTTGCTTCTCTTCCTTCTCCAGAGTGGATCCATTTTTACCTGTTATGCTTTGATCTTCATTCGTGTTGGATGCAATCTCCTCTGTTTTATTGTGTTTATTTTTCCTCTTTTTCTCTTTCTTCCTGCAACGATTTTAAGGTATATAATCAATAATAAAGATGATATTTCAGTGTATGAATTATGTCAAAGCCTGATAACTAGTAAATAATAGTTTCGAAGGTACATAAAGAGCCATTAGACCTTCAAACAACTACCGTCACAGGGGGAGAGAATCTAAAGTGACTGATTATTTACAATGTAGTACTCTTATTAAGTTGAAATGACACGCAATTTTGGATCAAAATCTTGGTCCACAAACACAATATTTAAAGATTTGCATCTGCGGCGTTTAATTAAGAACACTGTTAGCATTTTACAACCAAAAGTCTACATGTTGAGATATGAAAACTCACTTCTCACTTGTTGCCTTCGACTCATTTTCCATCTCAGCCGTCGGCAGCTGCTCTGCATCGTTGGAATCAGCCAAGACAGTTTGCTGAACCTCCTTTGTTACCTTTTCCTTTTCCTTCTTATTCTTTTTCTTTTTTTTAGCATCATTTTGAGACACGTTACCAGTTGGATCTGAAGAGCCATGTAGTGTGTCATTTTCCCTACTTGCAAAGTTGGATCAGAAACGTTAAGAAGTGCTACAAATTTTAGAGAGTAGATCCTAAAACTAATCACCTATAGGCAAACAATATACAGTATATGATACTATTCAAGGAATAACGAATAATAACCATCTTAATAGCATTCACCAATCAAAAACCAATTATTATAAATCCTAAATCTTCATCAGACGCGACAAGGAAAATTCATCCCACCTTGCATATTCTCCATCTCGGCCAATTGCATCAATCTTTCCTTTCAATTTTTTGCTCGCTTCAGTTTTTAGTTTCTTTTTATGGGTTTCCTCATCTGCGTTATCATCTTTGATTTCTCTGCTTGCAGATACTGGAAACCCATCTTCATCTTCACTTTCCAAGACAGGAACATCGTGTCCACCCTTGACCACAAGCTGCCGATCATAATTCATATTGTCATCAGACACATTTGACTGACTTTTCTTCTTTTTTGCCCGTTTAGACACACCATTCTCATTGACAGGCTTCTCAACATCCACTATTTCTTCAATTCTCACTTTTATGATAAAGAAAAAAATTAGAATGAAGTAAACATTCAGAGATCGTGAAATGGGTAAGCCAGAGAAGTATTATGCAAATGTATCATGACATGGATAATGTATCATCAGATTTCCGGTTGTTCACTTCACGATTTATGTTTATCTTTGTCAATAGATCAAAAATCTACTTCCAGGTCACATGTAAAAAGGTCATTATCTTGATGCTTATGCAATTACCAACTATCCAAAAACATCAAAAAGTATTTGAAGGTAAGTAATAAAAAGACACCAGGAAAGGCACAAAGAGAATACAAAACAGTCACACTCCACAATCTCATGGAAGATTTTCTTCCTCATCTCTTGATAAAAAAATTAAAAATCCACTACGCAGATTTTCTTAATTGATCAAGAAACAAAACCTTGAACTTGCTAATATGATTTGGCTTGAGGCAAAATTCAATTGGAACACAAGACTACATATTACTTCCGGAAACTACCTCCACTGTTGGGGACAGGAGAAGGTGGGTAAATGCCAAGATCGTCATCATCAATAAATTCACCCTCCTCATCATCTTCATCTTCAGAATCATAATTCATAAAATCATCCTCATCTTCTGAATCAGTGCCCACGGTATTCTCTTCATAAGAATCACTTAAATCATAGTTAAAGAAATAAAGCAAAAACAGCTAAAATACATATACACACTTTCATTCTTGATCCATTTAAAAAATTATATATAAAGAAGCATACATTATACATTTATGAATATAAGAAGTATCAGTTAGCAACAGAAAAGAAGGATACGACCCAGAATCATCTCCAAGTTTATCCTGATCATTTTCACCATAGAAGAACCCAGATAGATGCACGCTGTGCGGGCCAATAACTGAGAAGGTAACCTCATCCTCCTCAAACTCGAGATTCAATGAGCAAGTCTCAAGTCTTTCTGGTAACAGCGTACATAAGTAAATGGGACTTTTATCTCCCACATTACACTGCACTTTGCTCTTCTTAGTTGAAGAACCACTACCCAGTGTTGCCTACATGTCAACCACACAAGCAATCAATATTTCATGATCAAGGGAAAGCACAAGTCATAGGCAAAGTCGGAAAATAACAGCTTAAGAACTTTATAATATTGCAAAAAAATGATATTTCAGGAGCTAACCATTAACTATAAATCCATAATCAAACTCTGTGTGTGTGTGTGTGTAGTAGTAGTAGTAGTAGTAATATATTGACAAATGAGCAACTCTAAGCTCTCAAATTCGTATAAAAATTAAAGCTTATCAGAAAATTGAAAACATGCCATCAAAACGTAAGAAAAATTACAAACCTGAGATATATGAAGTCTTCCCCTCTCATTGTCGTACCGGTGGATATATGGTTTGCCTGGTTTTACTTGAATTCCTGGTCACAAAATCAATCACAAAAGAGAAATTAAAAATCAATTATACGGTTGTGTAGAAATATGTCTGAGTCAGTTAGCTTACCCCAGAAAGCCATTGGTGAGGTGGAATTGCAGCGTATTTCTCTAAAACCCTAGATGACAGTAAATGGTTCAGTTTGGGACCCTTTAAAACCCTAACGCTGAATTATAGGGGTTATAGAGGCACGGAAAAGCGTCCTACTTAGGCAAAATTATGACACGTTGAGGTTGGAAAAGGTTATACATTAATAATTGGATAATTAGCACAAAATCCCTACCTTTTAATATCACTATACAAGACATTTCCACCTTTCATTTTTATTTTTATTTTTTGCATTTTCACCATTATTTTTACCTTTCATTGTCAAAAATTTCATTTCATCCACTTACCGTCAGTTGCTCGATTAATTCAATATAAAAGGTCAAGGTAATTAACACAAAATGTCTCAATCTTTCATTTCCACGTTTCATTGCCAAAAACGTAATTTCATTCATATACCGTTAGTTGCTCCATTAATTCAATATAAAAATTTAATTTTCTTTTCAAACATTAAGGATAAAATAGTCTGAGTCCATTGAGCCCCTTCTTCTCGCCTTCAAAGTAGTTATTCCTTAAACAACAATAACTTAAATATGAAAATCATTTATAAAATTATTACATTAAATAAATTTTAAAAATAGCGTAAAAAACATTGTATTTCACAGCAATGGCTACTGTAATGGTGGATTACTGAGAAAATTCAAAGGAGTAAGCTGGAGAAATCAGATGGCTATACATTTGTCTTGGACCATTGAGGGATGGTTTCATTAGGGGTCGTACAAGGGTAATTGGGTTAGATGAAATACAATGTTATTTACGTCATTTTTCTTTATTTAATATAATAATTTTATAAATTATTTTCATATTCGCATTACTGTTACTTATAGAATAATTATTTTGAAGGCGGGAAGCAAGGGTTAAATGTATTGACACTATTTTACCCTTGGTGTTTGAAAAGAAAATTGGTTTTTGTATTAAATTAACGAAGCAATTGATGGTAAGTGGATTGAAGTTTTTTTTTACAATGAATAGTAGAAATAAGGGTGAAAATGCAAAAAAAAAAATTAAAAATATGAAAGATATAGACGTTCTGCCCAATAATATTGGAAGGTAATGACGTTTTGTATTAATTACCTTGGCTCTTTGAATTGAATTATCGGAGAAATTGACTGTAAGTGAATGAAACAACATTTTTGACAATGACAATGGAAATAAGGGCAAAAATATCAACAAAAAAAAAATGAAAGGTACGAATATTTTTCACAATAATATTGAAAGTTGGGGAGGTTTTATGCTAATTACCTTTTTTAGTTCATTTAGAGCCAAGTTTGTATAGATATGAATAAAATTTCGAGTCAAAATTAATAATTAATTTAAAGTAATGCTATATAGAATCTGTGCTAAAGTGACACCCTATGTGACAGTATGTGATATGTTCAATTAAATGAATCACATAACACTACATTAATTGAATTTATAATTAATGCCACGTATATGTACAATGATGATATTTTAGTGTCAATGACGTTGATAACATTATTATTAATTTTAACTATGAGAAGAGATCTAAAGTCTAGGTTCCCTCGATTACCCTCCTTTGAACTCGAACTAGTCGAGAGAGATGAACCCGTACCACATTTTCTAACCTTCGAATCAAACCCCCAACTAGAGATGAAATTTAAAAACCTAAACAACTTGCTTAACATTATTTTATTGTCTTTATAATATTGGCTTTATCATATTTATTTTATCCATAGATTAGAAAAATTCATAAAGATCGACAAAAGAAGAAATAAAGGAAAATTTTGACAACAAAGTACTCCAAAAGCTCAAATATAGTCAATCAAGACACGATCGAATTTATGGAAGTGTTGGTTTTCACTACAGCCAAATTCATTCACCTTCGTGGCTTGATTGTATATGACTATAAACGAGGTTAACTTCAACATTTCTTTCGGTGAGTGTTAGAATTTACAAATTCAAAATTTAACAAAGTATTAAATTCGATTGAATCTTGTGGTATACCAGAAGAGACTTCAAGATCTACCCTTAAAAATATATTAAAAAAAATAAAAAATCAAGATGTCTCTGGACCAATTGAGATCATGTTATTAGATAGTGACAAAGGTCCAGACATAAAAAATAAATGAATAAAAAAATTGATATCAGGGAACCCTGCCCACATAATTATGTGAGATCTATTCTTTGACAGCAACAAATGTCAAGGAACCCTGCCCACACAATTATGTGAGATCTATTCTTTGACAGCAACAAATGTTAATGTGCCGAGGTCACATGAATTGATCCAATGATCTTGTTTCCCTTGCACATATAATGTTGTCTATCCATAGACAAAACACCCAACTTGACGCTTGATAATCTTAACATTGGTAATGAATCATTGATGTCGCATTGCACTGTCATTATTTTTAAAAATTTATTCATCTATAGCATTGACGGATTATGATCTACAATTGAAAACGATACATAGACCAATCACCTCTTGAGATACAAATGAAATTCAACATCAAGTTGCATATTTGGTTGCGTCTTGCATTGATGAAACTAGATACAAGAACGCCACAAAGAATCCACGATGGCCTACGACAGCATACAGGGGCATGCTATAGGAGATTAAAACCAGATTAGATAATTATTACTGAACTTGTTGGCTTTAAAGAATTGAAGATATACTCAAAAACATTGTTAGCTGGATGTGTACTGCAGCCATCAGTTACAGTAAAATGTGATGCTTCAGGTCAAATTATCACTAGCACTCGCCCAACTACTAAATAGAAATGTTGAATTGGACGCAACTTCGCTAGATTAAAAAAGACAAGCATGTAACAAAATTTGTCGGTCTTCCTGTACAGTTTAGCTAGTCCAATGACTCGAGTTTAACACAGACAGGCGTACTGCGTACAGTGTCACCCGATAATTTTGCAAACCGAACACAATTCAATATTTACATTGTAATAAGGAGGCCTTGACAATGTTGGGCAATATAGAGGAAGAAATGTTAAAATCCTGCACTTGTCGAATTGCGACTACTAATCATATTAGTAAATTCAGATCAGAGGCAAAAGATATACAGTGAAAGAATCCTTTCCATTAATACACGAGATAAAAGGGTAAAAGGCCCTAACATTCGACATAGACAATGTTCCAAGACAACATTCAAAAAATAGCCTCAGTCCTCAGCAAAAGGACTGTGCCATAAAACAGTCAATCCTAAAAGTTTTTACCATTAAGTTAGTACGAATCTATCTCCAATCCGTCTACCATACTAGACGTTGCTCGAGTAAGGACTTGGGGGAACTAGTGAATACAAGAAGAAATTAACTTAGTTACTGAGTTCCTGTATAATTGTTTCCATTGACGGCCTCTCCTCTGGAGAATCATGTGTACACAACACAGCAACTTTCGCAATCTTTGCAGCATCAGGTTCGAAGAAACTTCCATGGAGATTTGCATCTATTAACTCTTGGAATCTGCACGACTCAGCAGCAGCTCGCATGGAAGTGGTATATTTACGCTTCCCAGAAAGGATCTGGAAAATAAGCACCCCAAAAGCATAAATATCACTTTTCTCCGTGAATCGTCCTGTATTAGTATATTCAGGAGCAAGATATCCCATTCCGGCACTGGCCTTGAGTACTGAGAAGATGGTGTCATTTGTGAGAAGCTTGTGTAGGCCCGAATCAGATAGCAAAGGTTTAAATTGCTGGTCCATCAGCACGTTCTTAGCAGAAATGTTTTGGTGAACCAGAGAGGGCTTGTTTACGCTGAACGCATGTAAATACTCGATACCTGCTTATAAAGAATAAGAACCTCAGATACGTGCATAACTGATAAAACGAACACTCATGGATTGATGAAAATTGTGTTCCTTCATACAGAAGGCATTACTAAGATCAGACCCGTGGGATCTTAATTATTAAATTTGGAGTTACTGTGCAGCTTTGTGAAGTAAACACAGTAAGGAGCGACCTATATAATCTAATAACATCTTCCGGGATCAACAGAAATTCAGGCACAATGAGACGAGAGCATGTAAAGTTAGACCATCTAGTACAAAATGTAAAATGGGCGGTGGGGGGATGTTATGGAACCTAAGAGAGAATGGAACTCATTGGCCGCTAATATAACTTTCCATACATGTTTTGTATGTAATACTAGTCAGTATAATGAATGAAATTTTAGTTTCTTAGCCAATATTGTGACTAGTGCAGTCAAATCCTCCCTATCAAACACATCATCATTGTCTTATAATTGCTTTCGAAACTTTATCAGGAATTTAGCAGTAAATCTAACCTTTGGCAATGCTGTTGATGATAGAAACTCTGGTAGACCATTCAAGAATCTGACCATCACCCTCCTTGACATCGAGATAATGAAATAAATTCCCATTCGGAACGAAATCGTAAACAAGGAAACACTCACCACGACCTCGAGAACAACAAAACCCTCTCAGTCTAACTAAATTCTCATATCTCAGTGAGGTTAGGACATTCAACCCCTTCAAAAATTCAGCTTCCTCAGACTTGCAACTAGTTTTCGTGATTCTCTTAATAGCAACAGCAGATCCATCTCGTAAAGTTCCTTTATATGTCACTGAATAGTTGCTCTTTCCCAACAAATTCTTATCCGCAAAATACTGAGTAGCTGTCTCTATCTCGTGTGAATTGAGACTAAACTTCTGCATAACCTCTTGGGGGACGCCAAACCGCCGACCCTCAGCCAATGGATCCCACCCGTACGAGTATTCGAGACTGACAAGAGGAGAACCATTCTTCCTAATGACCTCATTGGCCTGGTCAGTACTGAGACGGCTATCGGCCATATCAAATGCACTCCCAAGTTTTTGTTTACGACGTCGATACTGTGTGAAGGTAAGAATACCTATGGCTGACACGATAACAGAAACCACGACTACTCCAACCGCCACCGATGCCGGCGAGGTCTTTGACGTCTTCGAACAATGATCATTAGTGCAGTTCAAGTCTAGATTGGCAGTCTCCGGAATATCTCGTGTCG